TGGGAAATAAAGTCATACTGCTGTTTGGTCCTACTACTGGGGTTATGAAAATTAATGCTGACCGACGTATTATTTGTGAAACGAGAGCCTAAGAAACATGAATTGTTTAGAAATAAACAATGGGTTGAAAAATATATATTTAGGGGAAGAAGCCATATATATTGGATGTTATTTAGCGAACGATGTACGGAGAATCTTCAAGAAATTGAATAAAGAGCCAGTGGTATTTATTTTAAATACTTTAGATGAGAAATCCCCTGCAACGATGATGGGTCATTGGATGACTGTGTATGTACACAATAAACCTTCAGGAGCTATTATTGCCCTGTTGGACAGTTTTGGGCTGAAGATGGAATTCCATTCACGTTATTTACAAGAATTCCTCTCTTATTTTGAAGATTACAGAGTTTACATGTTCACACAACGCATACAGAGTATGGACTCATATTATTGTGGAGCCTATGCCATGTTTTTCGTCTATCAATTATGCAACCATAACTTGAGAGCTGCACTACATAAATTTGAAACTTTATTTGAATATGGGGAATATGATATGAACGATAGGAAGATAATTCAATTTGCATATTCTAATTTTGCAATGCCTAACTGCAAAAAGACATTTTGCATAGATGGAGAGGATAAATGTCTATCGCTGTGTGATGACTCCTCATATTACTGAGCTGTAAGTATATTTTAGATGTTTGCCATATATTGTCTTTCATATTATTGCTGATTTATTATTATTATTATTATTATTCTGTGTTGCTAATATGGTTTCTATTTATTCTTCCAGATTTGATGTGGCAGAGGAACTGGTCTCACAAAAAATTACAAGGATCTGGGATTGCTATGACCAACATCTGAAATATCATGCTTGTTCCCCATTACAATTTTACTGTTAAGACTAGAATGTAAACTTTTTTTACCAATAAAATAATAGAAACCTATACAATGTATATTCTTAAACCTCTGATTAGGTTAGGTGGGGATGGATAGTCTAGTTATTTTTGAATAATAACATCAAATACACATGCCAGTAGGACGCCAAAGGTTGCATTGGTTGTCTGGTGACGTCATACATAGTTGACCAGTAAGGTACTGTTATACCTTCACACCTATATGCTAATGACCATCAATACCCTATCCCTATACTTGAGCTCACTTTTCACGATGTCACTAAACAACAACAATAACTGGTCTGTAGCATGTATTTGTTTGTTATAAATAATAACAACAGTCTTGTAATAATTACAGTCTCCGTGGTGTAGTGGTAAGACACTCGCCTGGCGTTCCGCGAGCGCTATGTCATGGGTTCGTATCCTGGCCGGGGAGGATTTACTGGGCGCAATTCCTTAACTGTAGCCTCTGTTTAACGCAACAGTAAAATGTGTACTTGGATGAAAAAACGATTCTTCGCGGCAGGGGATCGTATTCCAGGGACCATAGGATTAAGGACTTGCCCGAAACATTGTGCTTAAAGAATGCAAAGAGGAGCTTTGTGACCCACTGTCAACCATATTTAATAAATCAATAGAGTCAGGCAGAGTGCCAGAGTTTTGGAAAGTTGCTAATGTGATACCAGTTTTTAAGAAAGGAGATAGATCACTTGCGTCTAACTATCGACCAATTAGCCTAACGTCTATTGTGGGAAAGTTACTCGAATCTATAATAGCAAATAAAATTCGTCTTCATCTTGAAAAACATAAATTAATAATTGAGTCGCAACATGGTTTTATAAATGGCCGTTCATGTTTAACAAATTTGTTATCTTTTTATTCTAGCATTGTTGAGGCAGTTGATAGTGGTAAGGATTGCGATGTTGTATACCTTGACTTTAGCAAAGCTTTTGATACAGTGCCACATGAAAGACTGATTAAAAAATAGAGTCTCATGGTATTGGGGGTGCTATATTAAGCTGGATTAGGGCATGGCTATACCAAAGGAAACAGAGAGCTAGTATAAATGGAATCAAGTCAGAGTGGGAAAATGTTGTAAGTGGAGTGCCTCAAGGCTCTGTCCTGGGACCTCTGTTGTTTATAATATATATAAATGATTTAGATTCAGGTTTGAGTAGCAACATTTGCAAATTTGCCGATGATACGAAAATCGGTATGGAAATTAATTCGGAGGAGGACTCACTATCACTTCAAGTTGATCTAGATAGGGTTTTGAAATGGTCAAAGGATTGGCAGATGCAGTTTAATGCTGATAAATGTAAAGTTCTGAGGTTAGGTAATGATGATAGAGTTACAAGATACGAGCTAGATGGTGTTGTGATTGCGAAGTCGGATTGCGAAAGGGATCTGGGAGTTATGATTAGTAAGAATTTAAAACAAAAGGATCAATGCATAAATGTTCGTAATAAGGCAAATCGGACACTTGGATTTATTAATCGCAGCGTTAGTAACAAGACACCTGGTGTGGTTCTCAAGCTATATCTTGCTCTAGTTAGGCCCCATTTAGATTATGCAGTTCAGTTTTGGTCGCCATATTATAGAATGGATATAAATTCACTTGAACGTGTCCAGCGTAGGATGACTAAGTTAATTCCCCAAATTAGAAATCTTTCATATGAAGAAAGATTAACAAAGCTTAAGTTGCATTCACTGGAAAGGCGAAGAGTTAGGGGTGACATGGTAGAGGTTTACAAGAGGATGAATGGACATAACCGGGGGGATATTAATAGGGTATTAAAAGTATCAACACAGGACAGAACACGAAACAATGGATATAAATTGGATAAGTTTAGATTTAGGAAAGACTTGGGTAAATACTGGTTCAGTAACAGGGTTGTTGATTTGTGGAACCAATTGCCGCGTAACATTGTGGAGGTGGGGTCCCTCGATTGTTTCAAGCACGGGTTGGACAAGTATATGAGTGGGATTGGGTGGTTATAGAATAGGAGCTGCCTCGTATGGGCCAATAGGCCTTCTGCAGTTACCTTTGTTCTTATGTTCTTATGAAACGCTACGCGTACTAGTGGCTGTACAAGAATGTAACAACTCTTGTATATATCTCAAAAAAAAAAAAAAAAAATAAGTTAGGTTAGGTTAGGTCAGGATGGTTTGATCGGGTTTATGAATATCAGAAAATATAAGTAATGAGCGAAAATACGAGCTATTGTAGCTGAATATCAACTCTGATGAAGCACAGAGTACAGTTGAGGTATTAAGCCAAATTAAGAGTTCACACTTATGTGTGAACCTCCTGGGATCCGCATTTACCGCGTTGGCCCCTCGCACCCTTAGGGATGATGACGTCAGAAAAGCAGGTAATTTCAAAAAACATGAGAGGCTTGCTTTTACTGAATGAGTATTTTTTGATCTGTTATATGCTACAGTAATGTGTGGTAGGTATGTTTTGAGCGAATGTGAGATGAGCATATATATTTATGTGTTTATGCAGTAATATTGGATTACTACTGAAATCGCATTGAAGTCACCATGCCTGGCAGGGGACTGTTAGTTTATACAGTAATATTGGATTAGTACTGAAATTGCATTGAAATCACCACGCCTGGCAGGGGACTGTTTTCATATAAATGGATGATAGTGGGTTTTCATTTTTATTTTCCCTATGGTTAATAAGCAATCCTTGGAGACAGATTGACAAAGCTTAAATTGCATTATCTACAAAGGCGAAGAAGAAATAGGGGAAACATGGCAAAAGGGATATTAATGGGCTATGAATACTATAAACACGAAATATGTTTTATTAGATTTAGGAAAATGACCTGGGTAAATACTGGTTCTGTAACAGGGTGGAACTCATTTCCTATGTTAAAATGATCTTAGACAATGGGAAATCGTATGGTAATACCTTATTGTGAAAACGAGCTTATAATGGTTTACGCCATTGCACATTAGGCTTGACAGATGGTAGCATTTGAATCCTACTTTGCTATAAATATTGAAAATGGGAATAATGACACTATAACAGAAAACGGACATATACAGGGAAGATGAAGACGGGGGTGACGTCATTGACCATTAGCAATGTCTGTGCAGGGTCACCGGGGTAACAGAATTTCGGTACGCCAGGAGCCGGCCTTTTAATCCTATCCCCAGGCAAATTGAAGTCTGGCTGGCAGCTGACGTCATTACCCATTGGCTATGCCTGTGCATGGACCACTGGGGTAACGAAATTTGGGTACGCCAGGGACCGGCTTTTTAATCCACAGGCAAGTTGAATCGAGAAAACCCAGGGTGAGTAGCAGCCTGTGGAAAAAAACAAAATAGCCGGTCTACGTCGTACTTCAAGTTCGTGAAACCAGGGGTGCGTACACCGGCCCCTGAAAAAAGTTTGTGAAACCAGGTACGACGTAGACCGGCTGTCGAAAAAAAAAAAAAAAAATAGCTGGTCTACGTCGTACTTCAAGTTCGTGAAACCAGGGGTGCGTACACCGGCCCCTGAAAAAAGTTTGTGAAACCAGGTACGACGTAGACCGGCTGTCGAAAAAAAAAAAAAAAAATAGCTGGTCTACGTCGTACTTCAAGTTCGTGAAACCAGGGGTGCGTACACCGGCCCCTGAAAAAAGTTCGTGAAACCAGGTACGACGTAGACCGGCTGTCGAAAAAAACAAAATAGCCGGTCTACGGCGTACGACGTAGACCGGCTGTCGAAAAAAATAAAATAGCCGGTCTACGTCCGGCTACGTAGACCGGCTGTCGAAAAAAATAAAATAGCCGGTCTACGTCGTACTTCCTACTACTTATGTTCTTACGGCGTGTAGATGTAGAGAGGTGTCTGTGATTCGATGGAGATGGGGGAAGGGGTGCTTCAGGAGAAGGTAGAAGTCACAATGAGGAAATTGAAGTCTAGCTCTTTATGTTAGCCTTTATGTGCATGTTGATTTATAAGTTATACCCTAGCAATCGAATTCTTAGCCAAGTCTAACCTTAAAGTTGTGATTGGAGGTGGCTTCCAGAACTTCTTTCAGAGCATGTTCTAAATGTGCGAGGACATTGGTCGTGAGTCAGGTCGCAAGACAACCAACAGTTTCAAAGGTAGAGTCCAAGAGCTAAAAGCTCGATCCTGTAGGCACAAAACCTCACTTAAAACTAAACAAGGTAAGCAATTACCAAAAAAGAAAATACGTATCATAAAAATACACTTTATTAGAAAAATGTAAGTACTACAAAAATGTAAGTAATTGTCAGCAGAAGGCACCAAGCCTTCATTTTTGAGAACGTTCCCTGGTGCTATAGCTTGACGGTTTAAAACTGTTTATGAGTTTTAGCTTGACGGTTTAAAACTGTTTATGAGTTTTGGCACAAATTTAAATTTTGAAATTGGGTAATTAAATTCGCAAGTTGCCTTGTTACATTATTTCGCAGATAGCTATCTTTTGGGCGTTTTCTCTTTTTCTTACTGTTTTTAAGGTAGACGACTTTAGGGTTGAGTCGTCGTCCAAGACTCCGACAGAGCCTTTTAGGGTGTTGCTGTCCTTCCCTGTTGAATTGGAAGTTGACGGAATCTAGAGTAGGACTCCAACAGCGCTTTCGAGGGAGTTCTCTCACAGCCAGGGACATCTTGCTAATGTGGTCCTGTAGACGGCGCAGCAGGTGAGGGAGTGATGGACGCTTCTCAGGGTTGTCGTGTGTGGCTACCTGGAACACCTGCTCCAGTAATGTGTCTTCTGCGGGCGACGCCTTCAGGATTTGCAGCATAAGTTTACCGTAAGAATATACGTCGGAAGCATACGTGCTGCGATGTTCCTGAAGAATTTCAGGGGCGTAAATCTCTGGGTCACCACTCAAGAACAAATTTTCATTATTCTTGCCGGCCAACCCAAAATCAATCAGGCTGACTTCTGGCTCGAGAGGCGGACCTTGCACCATAACATTGTCACACTTTAAATCATTGTGGACGATTCCCAACTTGTGGATTTCCAGTAATTTTCTACCGACCAGTAATCCAACTTCAATTAAGTTGTACTGACGTATTTTTAACACTGTCTCAAGCGTCTGGTTGCCCTTGTAGCTGGTAAGGATCGCCAGAGGCTTGACTCTCGCCCCAAGTAGGAGGGGAGCGCCTCCGGCTCCCTTCAACAACAACAAAACGTTGGCTTCTCTGATGAAAAATTCGGCAGACGAAGACGACTTCGCAACTTTCAGAGCTGCAGGGATTCCTTGCCACTCTACTAGAACCACTACTCCATACGTCCCGGAGCCGACATATCTGATCCTGCCTTTTACTAAGCGGTTGAAGGCTGCTCGGTCAAACTGCTCGAGGTAATCTGATTCTCGATCAAACTGCTCGAGGTAATCTGGTTCTCGATCAAACTGCTCGAGGTAATCTGGTTCTTGATCAAACTGCTCGAGGTGATCTGGTTCTCGATCAAACTGCTCGAGGTGATCTGGTTCTTGATCAAACTGCTCGAGGTGATCTGGTTCTCGATCAAACTGCTCGAGGTAATCTGGTTCTCGATCAAACTGCTCGAGGTGATCTGGTTCTCGATCAAACTGCTCGAGGTAATCTGGTTCTCGATCAAACTGCTCGAGGTAATCTGGTTCTCGATCAAACTGCTCGAGGTAATCTGGTTCTTGATCAAACTGCTCCATAATAGCTTTGATGTCAGAAACAGTCAACTTGATGTCCCAAGTGCTATCAGGAGTTTCTGAAGACGTTTGTGAGTTGTTGATTAAATCTGATGTATTAAATGAAATACTGCTAAACGAAATACTATTATTTTGTCATAACGTTTATATAAGTCCTCGATGATTGTCAAGATGTGTAATGGAATGATGGAGTACTTTTATGGGGATTTGTGAGAAGGGTGAGGTGGATAAAGAAGATGAGGTGAACGTAAGAATTAAGGAAACTGCATAAGGCCTATTGGCCAATATGAGGCAACTCCTAGGTATATCCACCCAATCCCATTCATAAGAACATAAGAACAAAGGCAACTGCAGAAGGCCTATTGGCCCATGCGAGGCAGCTCCTATTTATAACCACCCAATCCCACTCATATACATGTCCAACCCATGCTTGAAACAATCGAGGGACCCCACCTCCACCATGTTACTCGGCAATTGGTTCTACAAATCAACAACCCTGTTACTGAACCAGTGTTTACCCAAGTCTTTCCTAAATCTAAACTTATTCAATTTATATATACCCATTGTTTCGTGTTCTGTCTTGTGTTGATACTTTTAATACCCTATTAATATCCACTTTGTTATGTCGATTCATCCACTTGTAAACCTCTATCATGTCACCCCTAACTCTTCACCTTTCTAGTGAATGCAACTTAAGCTTTGTTAATCTTTCTTCATATGAAAGATTTCTAATATGGGGAATTAACTTAGTCATCCTACACTGGACACGTTCCAGAATTTATATGAATGAAAAAAGTGAATTTATATCCATTCTATAATACGGCGACCAAAACTGAACTGCATAATCTAAATGGGACCTAACCAGAGCAAGATATAGCTTTAGAACCACACCAGGTGTCTTGTTACTAACGCTTCGATTAATAAATCCGAGTGTCCGATTTGCCTTATTACGAACATTCATGCATAGGAACATAAGAACAAAGGTAACTGCAGAAGGCCTATTGGCCCATACGAGGCGGCTCCTATCGATAACCACCCAATCCCACTCATATACATGTCCAACCCGCGCTTGAAACAATCGAGGGACCCCACCTCCACCACGATACGTGGTAATTGGTTCCACAAATCAACAACCCTGTTACCGAACCACTATTTACCCAAGTCTTTCCTAAATCTAAACTTATCCAATTTATACCCATTGTTTCGTGTTCTGTCTTGTGTTGATACTTTTTATACCCTATTAATATCTACTTTTTTATGTACATTCATCCACTTGTAAACTTCTATCATGTCACCCCTAACTCTTCGCCTTTCCAGTGAATGCAATTTAAGCTTTGTTAATCTTTCTTCATATGAAAGATTTCTAATTTGGGGAATTAACTTAGTCATCCTACGCTGGACACGTTCAAGTGAATTTATTGTAGTAACATTATTATTGCAATAATGGAAGGATTTGGTGAGTCTGGTTGGAGCTTTGAGAGCAGAGATGGATTCCCTGCGGGAGGAGGTACGACGGCTGAGACTTCGGGAGGAAACGAAGGAGGAAACCAGTGTTGACGGGACGTCATCGTGGAGAGTCGTTAAGGAGATGGGTCTTAAGAAGACCTTGACAAGGCCGCCTACAGACGCCCTAAGGACAGCAAATTCATTTGCCGTGTTGGAGGACGAGTGCTGTGGTGAGCCTGCAGTTCACTGGGAACGGATATCAGCGAGGAGCGCGGAGCACAGGCCCCTCAGGCTGCTCAGAAAGTTAAGGAGGTACCGAAGCGAATTTTGGTTGTGGGAGATTCCCAGGTGAGGTATTTAGACAGAACGTTTTGTGCCAGAGATAGGGGGAACAGATTAAGGGTTTGCTAGCCAGGAGCTCGAATTGGTGATATTGTTGGAAACATGAATGATATTATGATGGGAAATGGGAACAAACCCATTATTTGTATTAGTGCAGGGGGTAATGATGTTGGACGAGTTAGGAGTGAGGAACTAATACAGAGATTCAGGACAGCTATTGAATTCGTTAGGAGCAAGGGAGGAATCCCGATAATATGTGGCATTCTTCCAAGAAAGGGAGTGGGTAATGAATGGATGTCGAGGGCACTTGGTGTCAATTGCCGGCTGGAAAGATATTGCAAATCAAATGCAATATCTTTCATAGACAACAGGGAACACTTCTATGGAAGAAATGAAATGTATGCTCGTGATGGGGTGCATCTATTGAGGGCTGGGGTTGTTGCTGTTGCGAACTCGTTGGAACCAGTGGTTAGAGGTGTTTGTTTGGGTTTAAACTGTTAGTAGATCAGTAGGTCAGTCGGTCAGGTGAAGTCACAGTGAGAGGTTGTGTTAACCGGAGCTCCTGAGTGTTGTTATATTATCATAGCAATATGGAAGTTGTAGTGAAGGACCTGGTGACTCTAGTGGGAGCCCTGAGGACAGAGTTGGACTCTCTGCGGGAGGAGGTGCGTCAGCTTAAAAAACAACGAGAAGTAACGAAGGAGGAGACCAGCAGTAAAGGGACCTCGTCTTGGAGAGTTGCGAAAGACAGGGGCCTTAAGAAGACTTTGATAAAGCCGCCTTCAAACGCCATAGCAACTTCAAATTCATTTGACGTTTTGGAGGACGAGTGCTGTGGAGAGACTGTGGATCGCGCAAAAGGGAAAGCAACGAAGAGAAAGGAAGCGCAGGCCCCTCAGAAAGTAAAGGAAGTACCTAAGCAAACATTAGTTGTGGGAGATTCCCAGATAAGGTATTTGGATAGAACGTTTTGTGCTAGAGATAGGGGGAACAGGTTAAGGGTTTGCTATCCCGGAGCTGGCATTGGTGATATTATAAACAACATGAATGATATTATGGCTGGTAATGGGAACAATCCCATTATTTGCATTAGCGTGGGAGGAAATGATGTTGGTCGAGTCAGGAGTGAGGAACTGATTCAGAGGTATAAAACAGCCATAGAGTTAGTTAGGAGCAAGGGAGGAATCCCGATCATATGTGGCATTCTTCCAAGAAAGGGAGTGGGAAATGAATGGATATCGAGGGCACTTGGTGTCAATTGCCGGCTGGAAAGATATTGCAAATCAAATGCAATATCTTTCATAGACAACTGGGAACACTTCTATGGAAGAAATGAAATGTATGCTCGTGATGGGGTGCATCTATCGAGAGCTGGGGTTGTTGCTGTTGCGAACTCGCTAGAAGAAGTGGTTAGAGGTGTTTGTTTGGGTTTAAACTGTTAGTAGATAGAGGTATGGGAATTGATTTGGAGGAAGGAGGTAATAAAAGTATGTGTTTGTGGGAGAAAGGAATTGGCAAAACGATCAGGGAAAGAGAAGGTCCGCAAAATAACAATTCACTTAGGGTATATTACACTAACAGTAGAAGTCTAAGAAATAAAATTAACGAATTAAATGCTCTTGTCTGCACAGAAAAAATAGATATTATTGCACTTACCGAAACGTGGATGAATGTAGAAAATAGAGAACTATTAGCTGAATATCAAATATATGGATTTAAACTATTTCACACAGATAGATATATTAGACGAGGAGGTGGAGTAGCCATATATGTTAGGGACAATTTGAAATGTAGTCTCAAAGAGGGAATCAAAATAGAGCCACACACAGAAACTATTTGGATTGAATTAAACGAAAAAGCTAATAATATTATAATAGGAGTAATATATAGGCCACCAAATTTAGACAGAATGGAAGCAAAGCATCTATGGGATGAAATATCTAGAGCATCTAGATCTAACAGTATTTATGTCATGGGTGACTTTAATTTTAGCGGAATAAACTGGTTGAACAAAACAGGGTATAGTGAAGCAGAAGATTTTCTAGAATTAATTGACGATTGCTTTCTTACGCAACACATTAAGGAACCAACACGGGAAAATAATATTTTAGATTTAGTGTTAACTAACAGGGAAACGCAAATTAATGACATCGAAATAGGGAGTGAGCTAGGGAGCAGTGATCACAAAGAAATCAGATTTAGCATAGAATGGAATAGACCAGTAGGAGAAAATTCTGTTAAAGTGCCAGATTTTCGAAAAGCTGATTTTAATAGCCTAAGAAATTTTTTGGGTCAAATTGATTGGAAAGGCTTGGGTATGGGGTGTGGGCCGGTCTTGGAGCGAGACATGAACCCAGCGATAGGTGACTTAAATGGGGATTTCGATGTGGATTCAATATATAACTTATTTAAGAATATTCTAAACAAAGCACAGGAACGTAGTATACCATACAAATTGAATAGATCGTATACTAATGACCCAAAGTGGATAACAAAGAATTTGAAGAACCTTATAGGTAAAAAGAGAGCTTGGTACAAAAGGATTAAAAATGGGGAGGTCACTTTAGAACAGGAATTCGTACAACTGGTTAGAAATGTTAAAAAAGAGATAAGGAAAGCAAAAAGAAACTATGAAGTTCGCATAGCAGGGCAAGCAAAGACAAATCCTAAAGGGTTTTTTCAGTTATATCGTACTAAGACTAGGGAAAGGATAGGTCCATTAAAAACTGAGACAGGTCAAATAACAGATAGTGATGAAGAGATGAGTAGTATTTTTAATAAATATTTTGTATCTATATTTACTAAAGAGGAACTTAACAATATGCCTTCAGCCGAACAAGTCTATGTGGGTGGGGACGAGGACAGGTTGACGAGTTTAGCAGTTACCAGGGAGGATGTTCTTAAACAAATAGTAAAACTCAAACCAAACAAATCCCCAGGGCCGGATGAAGTGTTTGCTAGGGTGCTTAAAGAATGCAAAGAGGAGCTTTGTGACCCACTGTCAACCATATTTAATAAATCAATAGAGTCAGGCAGAGTGCCAGAGTTTTGGAAAGTTGCTAATGTGATACCAGTTTTTAAGAAAGGAGATAGATCACTTGCGTCTAACTATCGACCAATTAGCCTAACGTCTATTGTGGGAAAGTTACTCGAATCTATAATAGCAAATAAAATTCGTCTTCATCTTGAAAAACATAAATTAATAATTGAGTCGCAACATGGTTTTATAAATGGCCGTTCATGTTTAACAAATTTGTTATCTTTTTATTCTAGCATTGTTGAGGCAGTTGATAGTGGTAAG